ATTATTATTATTATTATACTTGTCACTTTGTCAATTTATATCGTTTTACTTTACTCAGTTCAGTTCTTACTATGTAATTCAGGGCCTCTGGAACACTGTGGTCTCTGGAGTAAATGAGATTGATTTTAGTTCCCTGGACTGCTACAGGGCTTTTCCTAGCAATATCTCCTGCCATCTCCAGAGCTCCAGCCATCATAGTCTCTTTATCCGGGAAAACACGACTGTGTGCAACAAAAGAGAAAAACTTGGTGAGAACAAGAGAAAATTTATAATAAAAATATGAAGCTGTTCTATGTTGTGAAAACAGTTGGTACAGTATATTATATATATATATATATTTTTTTTTAAAAGCATATCAGCTCATGTCTAAATATCTCACCTGACCAGTCCACAGCTCTTGGCTTCATCAGCGTACATCTTTCTTGCACTGAATGCCAACTCATTCACTAGACTGAAAGACAAAAATGTACAATGAATTGTATAAACACAGGGCACTGCTACTGGATCTGCTAGCAAGTACCTTCGACTTCCAATCACACTGGGGAGACGCTGCAAAGTCCCGTCATCAGCTGCCAAACCAATGTCAACCTCCTGTACAGGAGGTGATCGAAGAGCAGAAGAGTGATCGATTCAGGCATTCAAATTTGAATCAATGCAAATCTAAGTTATTATAAAATGGTATTAAACAAATAAAAGCACAGGGGTTCAAGGTGGGACTACAATGAGCTTTACAGAATTGATGATTAAAATCACAACAACATTCTAATAAAAATGCCCACACCTTGACCTGAAACCAGGCATCCTGCGTGCACAGTCGTATATCACATGCTGTGATTAGGTCTACGCCTGTAAAAGAAGACACAAATGAATGATAACATTTATCCAGGTGAATATTAGGTTAAACATACAAATGTTGATTTTTTTTCACCCACCACAGAGTTTGTTATCCATTATTTGTTTAGAGCAATATGTATTGTGATAATTTGTGAAAAGTACTCTAAAAATGAACAGAATTAAACTTCTATCTGTACTATAAACACAATATAAATGTGTTTATAAAATTGTATAAAAAAGTATAAAATGTTTTGCCAACCTCTTTACACAGGAAAACTAACCTGCTCCTATGCATGCTCCATGAATGGCCACAATCACTGGTTTTGGACACTGATGAAACATATGATTTGTGCATGGGATAAAGTTTGCCATTTAGACTTCTAAATCCATATCTTGGAATGGCCTGATTGGTAAAGCCAAAGATAAAGTTCAACATAAAATCTTAACATCCTCATGCCGTGCCTTTCACAGTTCTCAAATGCATAATTGTGCATGAATTTTCCCTTATATTTACCATACTACCTAGATCTCATTTTTTAAATTTAATAATTATCTATATATTCATATGCTTTCACAGAATGATGTTTTAAAATAGTAACCTTTTCAATAACAGAGAAGGTCTCTTGGTATTGAGTTATGACGCGGCGCAGGTTCCATGAGATCCTGGCTGTGTCATCACCTTCCGGCTGAAGAATATCACTGGCCATGCTCATGAGATCAATACCTGTACACAGATTATTACATTTTACATTTATATATGGCATATCATATATAAGTGTGCAATCTAGGTATCTTCACAAATGCCTGTCTCCAAAACTATATACATTAAAAGAGGGATAGATATGTATGCTAAGGCAAGCATTACTATAACTATTGCTCATATTGAATGATTTCAATAAACCCCTAACCCTAAGCATTAAAACTACCGCAGCATTTGTGCTATGGATATGTATTATACCTTGCATTGCATAATTCAGATTTACATCTGATGGATAAATTAGGTGTAAAAAAAAAGGCAAGGTTAATCACCTACATGTAGTACTGTGGCATTGAGTATTGCATGGGCAAGCAAAATTCTGAAGATTAAAAATCTAGTTATTGTTACTTGGTAGATTAGGTGACCACAACACAGTCTATTTGCAGGGCTCTACGCTAACTTTTCTTTTTAGGAGCACTTGTGCT